GGCAGTATCCACAGTTCCCAGCTAATTTTCTTATGTTTAGTAGAGATGAGTTGATTTCCTTTACCCAGGTTGGTGCGAACTCCTGGCGCCTTGGTTATCCATTGCCTCGCCCAGCACAAGGCTCGGGTTACGAGAGGCGAAACCCTGGAGCCCGACCCAGCATGTTTTTAATAGCAGAGAGGTAGAAGGAGGCAGAAGAGGAAGGAAGGGAAGCAGTGCCTGCCTCGCCAATGCTGAGTTCTTATAGAAGGTTGTTTGAAACGTGGTTCAAATTTAGCACCCGACTGATAGGCTGTCAGATATAGAAACAAGCTGAGTCAAAGCCATGTTGAATGAAGATTTGAGTCTAAATCCTTGAACCAATAGCTCATAGTTTTCAGATGCTTTTGTAAAGATCTGCTTTTAACAAATACATAACACATTTGTAACACCCATCACTTGGGTGTGAAAAATGCAGCTTTGATGCGGGTTCTAGTACCAGCTCTCACAGCCTTGGCGAGATGCTGGTGAGTCCTTCACTTTAAACCTGTCTTTGAGTTCTTATGAAAATAGTGAGTTGAAGTCAAATTTGAAAACCATTTTCCCTTCTGGTTCTTTCGCCTCTGATCCCCATTGCACATCCGAATGCATGGGATAGAGATCATCTGCTTCGCATGATGTGTTGATTCAAATCATGAAACCCTGGCCTGAGTCATCTGAAAATCTCTAAATTGAGATTTCATTGCTCCTAAGAAAGTGGCCAGTCCTCTGCTTCATCCTAGTTTTTCCCCGTGTGGAGAGCTGAATACCTATCATGATATTTTTGTCAAATTGTGAATTCTCCCTCCTCTTTGTTTGTTTGTTTGAGGTTAGAGTCTCAGTCTGTCACCAGGCTAGAGTACAGTGGTGTGATTTCAGCTCACTGCCACCTCTGGCTCCTGGGCCAAGCAGTCCCTCCCTCCAGCCTCCTGAGTGGCTGAAAGTCCATGCAAGCCACCCGTGCCTTAAGTTGTTGTTTTTTTTTTTTTTGTTAAATTAAAAAAATTTTTTTGTCGAGATGAGGTCTCACTATGTTGCCCAGGCTGGGTTTGTCTGGCTTTTAATGAGCTAATTGCTTTAAAATCTTTCCTCACGGAAACCTTGAGTGATGAAATTATCAACTGGTGAGAGACCGGTTAGTTCCTATCATCTGTGGCATGTAGGTCAGTGATGCTCAGCATGGGTGTGGTGGATGCCTGTGCTGTACGCTGCCCCTGCCCACTCTCAAGTCTTCATGAGCCAGCATTTCTAATAAGACTGTCGACACATATGTGATATAATCATCTCTCCTGCATATCAAATGTTGTGATTTCAGCTTTAGAGACATGGATTGATCAGATTTAAAGTTGAAAGACGCGACTTTAGTACTTCCTGACTAATCAACTTATGAAGTATGTTACATGTGTTTTCAAATTGCTGACTGTGAATTGTAAGTGCTTTTGAATTGAAAGGAAGCACTGGATGTTTAGGGAAGAAATTACCTTTATATTCTGCAGATTACTGTCCTCCAAAGTGTATAGAGAGGTTTAATTGGATGTAAGACACAGGATCACCCTTTGGAGTTTGTTTCTATTCAATTTAATAAAATCCAAACTGTAGTGTGTTTTGTATGCCTTTGAGGTCATTTACCAAATAATCTGTTGCTAAGTCATGTTCCCAATTGTTACGTTTCTGTTACAGGTGAAAAGCAATGACAGTGTTAAAAGAAGACACGCTGAAATGATGCAGGCTGCTTCTATACTTGGAAATTTATTTCATTACAATTCTCCCAATAAAGCTTTACAGCCCTCTGCAAAAAGAAGTCTTAGCATCTTTTTGTGAACTTTATTCTAGCTTTTTGATGCTGTGAGACATGTACATTCTTTGAAATGTTATATTCTAAGTGTTTGAGCTGGTATGTAGAGACATCATTCTTTTATCTTTCTTTCATTTTTCTCTTTGGCGACAGAGTCTCGCTGTGTCACCCAGGCTGGAGTGCAGTGGCGCGATCTCTGCTCACTGCATCCCCACCTCCAGGATTCAAGCAATTCTCTGCCTCAGCCACCTGAGTAGCTGGGATTACAGGCGCCCTCCATCACGCCCCGCTAAGTTTTGTATTTTTGGTAGAATGGGGTTTCATCTTGGAGCCTCTTGAAATCCTGACCTCGTGATTCACCCACATCGACCTCCCAAAGTGCTGGGATTACAGGCGTGAGCCACCATGCCCAGTGGAGACATAATTCTTATATATTGGTTTTCATCCAGCAGTAACCTTGAAGTATTGTATGAATTCTAAAAGTTTGTTCTAGATCATTTTCAGTCTTCAACATGCAAGCATATCATCCTTCAATAAGAGCAATTTTTGTTTCTGCCATTTATTTTTCTTTGTCGTTTTTGTATTGTTTGTAGAGACTGGGTTTTGCCATGTTTCCCGTGCTGTTCTTGGACTCCTGAGTGCGTGGTGCCGCCTTGCCTCCCACAGTGCTGGGATTACGAAGTGGCCTCTGCGCCAGTCCTGTTGCTGCCATTGTAAAGAGTTTTATTTCCTTTTCTGATTTTATGGCACTGTGCAGACCCACCTGTTACCATGGTGATAGTGGACATCCTTGTCTTATCCTGAGTGAAACGGAAACTTCCACAATTTCACAATCCATATTTATCCTTTTTGTGATGAACTTTAGTAGTGTGTGTTCTAAATATGCTGACGTATTCATTTGAATCTATGTTGAGTTTCATCAAACAGTGCATCTATTTTGATTACCACAATTATGCCCATTCATCTGGTAATATGGTAGATTTCTGATAAAATTGCCCAGAGTTTTAAGTTCCAATTTTTTTAAAAACTTGGAGACAGGGTCTCACTCTGTCATCCAGGCTGAGGTGCAGTGGTGTTATCACAGCTCACTGCAGCCTTGACCTCCTGGGCTGGCTTGATCCTGCCCATCAGCCTCCTGGTGGCTTTGTGAGTCTAGGCTACATGCCACCATGCCAGGTAATTTTTGATGGCTTTTTCTTTGTTTTGTAGTGATGACATTTTTCTGATGCTCAGGCTGGTCTCGATGGAAGTCCTGAGCTCAGGTGTTCTGGCCAGCTGGCCTCCAAAATACTAGGATTACAGGCGTGAGACTTGGCCTGATCCAGGTTTTTTCTTCTATAGGGTCTTATCTATGCAAGGGACTAAACTTATCTGTACCTTTGTGCAGGGGACAAGACTTGCATGATAAAAATTTATCATTCTGTTGATTTAAAGACAACTATCCTTGACTTACCCGTGTGTAAGTCCATGAAAGTATAATGAATTATGTTGAAAGCATATGTGCTATGGGTGTTGGGAACCCTGCAGTTTCGCTGCTGTGGGAGCATGTCGGCGATTACCTTTCGTCTGTTTTCTCAACTCCAAACATCTTAGGACCATGGGTTGTGACTGGTAGGACTGTGTATCCTGCTATTTTCAAGACGGAGTTGATTTTCCGTGTTGCCACTCTGGCTGTCCCGTTTCCTAATACCGTCACTTCTCATGCCTTGATTCTGTCTAAATAATGCTATCATTTAAATATTTCTTACAAATCTAAATTTATATTCATTTTCAATCTCTTTCTGGCAACAATATTCCCACATTAAAACAAATTTCTTACAAGTGAAACTACTATTACTATTTTACATGTAGATCTATCTTCAAATGCGTCCACCATGCTCTTATCCCCCATAGTGAGAGTATTACAGCAAAGAGAACCTAGGTATATGTATCATATAATATGTGTGTGTGTGTGTGTAGCATGTATGTATATGTGTCAGAGTCAATTCAATTTAAAATCAACTAAGTTTGAGAGGCTTTTCACCAGGAAGTATTGAGTCCAAAACAAAGACAACAACAAAGGCAGTTGGATTCTAGCCATCCTCACTGGATGGGAACCGGGGGTTTGGGACATTGGGCTGGGAACGCAGCCGCCCAGGCCCACAGCCCGCGCATGCTCTGGGCCCCGTCTCAGTCGCGCATATTCACTGGCGTCTTCCGCCCAGCGGATGCCACGTGAAAAACGCCAGGAAACTGTGAGCTATGCAGTCTCGTTCTTACCATCGGACTCTTCCCTACTGGTCATCTGGCAGTCACCAAATCGAATTATCCAGGGGCTGGTATGAGTGAGGTGAAAAGAAGACCTCGGTGGGTCAGTGGATCCTTCCTCGTGTAGCCTCTGAGGGAGAAGGACCTCAGGTCGTCCTCCTTCTCTTCTCAGGCTGCTATGCCACCATCGACTTTGTGGTCGTCAGGGGGCCTGGACAGGGAGGAAGGTGGGCCAGGAGGAGAAAGGCAGTCGGGGCTCAGAGAGTGAAGATGGGAGTGAGCCCGTTTGGGGATGGAAGTCCCGGTGCCGAGATCCTCCAGCGACACAGGAGCAGATCCTGAATAAGTGCCTGGTACAGGAGCAAGGCGGCCGGTAAGAAGAACCTGGCACCTGGGAGAGCTACGGCCTACAGTGAGCGCCCCAGCGGTGTGGAGTGGACGCCTGAGTAAGGAAGCACTGCAAGGTCTCACATCGCCATGGAAGGTCTGGGAAAAGTGGGAAGGAGTGGCGAGACGTGTAGGTACAACCAAACTTGATGTGAGAGGGGGTGAATGGCTCTAGAAGCGGGAGTTACCCAAAGCAGCGATCTGAGTGCGATTCACTAATGTTTCCGATGGGAGTCCGCTTGTGAAACTAAACCTCATCAAGCCTCTATCTACGGGGCACAGTGGCGCTCGCCTATAGTCGAGTTACTCGGGACACAGAGCGGGAGGATCCCTTGAGCAGGAGGTCGAGGCTGCAGTGAGCTGTGATGGCGCCGCTACTCCCAGCTGAAGCAACACAGCAGAACAGCAGTCCAAAAGAAATTTAGAAAAAAATGTCCTCTGCCTCTTGCCACCGCCTTAGAATGACTGCTCTGCCAGCTTGGCCAGCATAAATGGCTTTGTGAAGCACTTAGAAAATGTACACCGTATGCTTAACTCTGGGACTTATTTTGACAGTATTTTCAAAATTAAAACGACAAGTTAACATTGATCCATGGAAGTGATCGAATATGGCAGCCCTCTGGAGCGCATGTTCCCAATCACGGTTGTCTGTTTTCAGTGTGAAATATGAGTTGGCGAGGAAGATCGACCTATCGGCGTAGGCCAGGCTATGTAGAGCCTCCTGAAGTGATTGGGCCTATGCTGGTGAGCGCTTAAACGTTAATTCGATGTTTTCTATTAGCAGAAATTAATTTTTGTGATAGTGTTGTTGCATTGATATGGAAATGCTGAGAAACGTCTTTCCTGCTGATAAAACATGATTATGGCGTCTGATGAAGGAAACGTTGATTGTGGAGGATTTTTTGTTTTTTCCTCTCGTGTTCTTCAGCTTTTGCCATGACTTCTTTCATGCTTTGTTTGTTAATGACGGATCGTACATGTATTCCAACACAAGTATAATAGCTTCCAAAGTCCTTGTGCGTCACTTTTCTCACAGTAACCTCCTGTGGGTAAAAGTAACAGCCTTCTTGGCCATAGAGAATAGAGTTGGAGAAATGTCTTTAGGCTTAGTTATGGTCAGAAACAGCTATGTATTCTGTGTATATATGTAAAATTTTGTATCAATAGCAAAACTTGTTTTTTTTTTTTTCTTTGTTGCACCCACATATTCTGGCCGAGCAGTTCAGTGATGAAGAAGTGGAACCACCAAAACCTGAAGAAGGGGAACCAGCAACTCAAAGTCAGGATCCTGCACCTGCTCAGGAGGGAGAGGATGAGGGAGCATCTGCAGGGCAAGGTGATGGAAAGGGAAGAAGAATGCCCGCTGGTGTGTGTGTCTGTGTGTGTGCGTGTGCGTGTGTGCATGTGTGTGTGTGTTATGCATTGTCACATAGCAGGAACAGGAGGAAAGAAATCAATGGAAAGAATGCCTGAAATTGACTGGAAAAGCCAGGAGGCTATGTAGTTTGCAGCTTAGCTTAGGCAAATCCCTCACTATGATAAAATTTCTCGACTTTATGAATGAGAGAATAGAGGTGCCGGGATTGTGTTTTATCCGAGAACCCTTGACTGGTGAATACACAATTTGTACTTTGTTCCAAGGTTTGTGTCTTCCTATCATCTGTGTTGCTATAAAGAAGGAAAGATTTTGCTGAAAATGCTTAAAACTCAAATGCTTTACTGTAAGGTAGCTTAGTACTGGCCCAAGAAGAGACCCAGTTGGAAGGAGCAGGAGCAGCTCCAAGAAACTGAGTCACTGAATGTTGGCCACCGTTTCTGATTGATGTTTTTATATGGTACGTTTGATAAAAGCTGGATGAAAACGAGGATACTGCCTCATACAGGTAGCACTGGTTTAGTGATTTTCTAAGTAGCTTTTGAGAATTGATTAAATCCTTTTATGGTTGGAAAAGCAGAAAAGGAGTTATCCTAAGTTAACATGAGGTGGAAATAATTTCTCAAGATAAAATGTTTTGAAAGGGAAACATTTATGTAACCCAGGGTGTGGATTATTCCAGGGATTCATTGTTAAAGTTTCTAGAATATGACTGATAACAATGCCCATTACTTGCTGTCCACCCACTCCCTTATTCTAAGTGCGGGATAGTATATCTTGTGTGATTCACAAACAATGTTATATTTGGTGCTTTGTTCTTCACAGGGTTCATTTTATGGGAATATTACATTTTAGGACCTTCGGACCTAAATATAACTTTGTTTGAACAAAGTTAAGTTTCTCTTTACCCCAGTAGGTAATGGGTGTTGTGACTGTAAGATTTTCTGTAGTCCTCAAATCCATTCAGCTAATCAGTCCTTCAGAAATTGACATTGTAATTGTAACTGAAATCCTATCCATGTTGTAGACTTCCGATTTCTTAGGTGATGCACAGTGCTCTTGGTACTCTACAGCTGAATATAAGCATTATGCATGTCCTGTGGTTTATCCTCAGATTGTCATTTTAGGAGAGGAGTCTCAAGCTGGGCTGAACGCTGTGCACTCATAGTCCCAGCTACTTGGGAGGCTGAGGTGAGAGGATCGCTTGAGCCTGGCGTTCCAAGCCCAGCCTGGGAAACACAGCAAGACCTCATTGCTAATAAACAAACAAACAAAGAAGTAAATAAATCAAGGTTTCATGGTATAGGAAAACAGAGATTCGAAGTTTGTGCCTAGTGGCTGGTAATGTTGCAGACATAACTCCTTGGTAGACACGTACCACTTAAAAAAGGCAGTGAGGATTGAGGTATGTGTATTTTTACCACAATCCAAAGAAAACCTCCTCTCTTCTAAACTTCAGTGTAGTTGTCATATATTCTTTAAAATTTTTACTCTGTCTATATTCAAGATATAATATTTATAGAAAATTTGCAAGAATAGTACAACGAACTCATATACTTTTCACCTAGATTCGCCAATTATTAATAGCTTTCTCCGTCACGTTTCATGTCTCTTCCCTCCCTCTTTTACCCGGCTGCCCACACACTCACAAACACCCACACGCGGATATATGTTTACTGTTATTAGCTCTTTGACTTATTTTAGATAAAGTTTCAGGTATCATGGTCCTTTCCCCTATGTACTTGAGGGTGTGTATATCGTCAGCACAAAGAGAAAGTCATTTCTTGGATCATCACTGCAGAAAGATCCAAAATCGGAAATTTAACAATGAGAAAATGCAGTCATTTAATGCGCAGTGCATACTCAAATTTTGCCAGCTCCCTAGACAACTTCTTTCTTCCTTTCGTTATTCTTTGTTGAGACAGAGTCTCCTCCGTGCCCAGGCTGGAGTGCAGTAGTGCGATCTTGGCTCACTGCAACCTACACCTCCCGGTTCTGGGATTCTCACGCCTCAGCCTGCCGTGTAGCTGGGACTACGGGCGCCTGCCACTGCGGTCTTGAACTTCTGACCTCACCTGATCTGCCCACCTTGGCATCCCAAAGTGTTTGGAGTTGCAGCGCTGGACCCCACCGGCCCAGATAGTGTTATTGATAGGATTTCTTTTTCTGATCAGGGTCGGTTCCAGGATCACGTCTTGCATGTGCTTTTCAGGTGTTTTAGTTTCCTTTAATCTGGAATGTTTCCTTAATTTTTCTTTGTCATTCATGATATGGACATTTTTGAAGAGGATAGACCAGTTGGTTTGCAGAATGTTCTGCAGTTTGGGCTTTTCATGTATTTTTAAGACCTTTTTCAACTGCGTTGATTGGTGGCTACTCAGGCCGTAGGAGAGTCTAAGTGCTAGGAGTGTAAGTGCTGTGAGAGACTGATTTCAGCCTTGAGTCATTTGATGAGGTAAGGACAGTAAGAGTAGAATAGCAGAGAGAAAAGGGGGAGCAAAGGAGGCCACAAAGTTGTCTGGGGAGCAGTCTTCGAGGAAGGAAGAGGTAATATTTGGAACACCTTGTTTTCCTGTTTTCTGTAACAGACTACTGAAATAATGTTCGTGGATTCTTATCAACACATCTATTATTACAATAGCTAAAGCTTTGATATAATAACACAGAGAGCATGAGTATTATTTTCTTATTGATATTTTATGTTTTACTGCTTAAATTGATATGTATTTTTTATTTTCAAGGGCCAGAGCCTGAAGCTGAGAGCCAGGAAGGTTTAAGCCCGGCTGACTGATTATGAGCGTGAAGATGGTCCTGATGTCAGGAGATGAGCCTGCCGTCAGAGGAGGTGAAAGGCCTGAATAAGGTAGGCAATCCATTAGACATAGGCAATACGTAGCTACTTTTCACCTAGATTCACCAGTTGTTAATAGCTTTCGCTCCGTAGGTTTCATGTCTCTTCCGTCCCTCTCTTACCCGGCTGCCCACACACTCACAAACACCCACATGCGGATATATGTTTACTGTTATTAATGCTGACTTGTTTAGATAAAGTTTCAGGTGTCATGGTCCTTTCCGCTATGTACTTGAGGGTGTGTATATCGTCAGCACAAAAAGAAAGTCATTTCTTGGATCATCACTGCAGAAAGATCAAAATCAGGAAATTTAATAATGAGAAAATGCAGTCATTTAATACACAGTGCATACTCAAATTTTGCCAGCTCCCCAGACAACTTCTTTCTTCCTTTCATTATTCTTTGTTGAGACGGAGTCTCCCTCCATTGCCCAGGTTGGGGTGCAGTAGTGCTATCTTGGCTCACTGCAACCTACACCTCCTAGGTTCTAGGGATTCTCACGCCTCAGCCTGCCGTGTAATTGGGCCTAGAGGCGCCGGCCACTGCGGTCTTGAACTTCTGACCTCACCTGATCTGCCCACCTTGGCATCCCAAAGTGTTTGGATTGCAGGCGTGAGGCCCACACCAGCCCAGGTGGAGTGTTATTGATAGGATTTCTTTTCTGATCAGAGAGTCAGTTCAGGATCACGTCTTGCATGTGCTTTTCAGGTGTTTTTAGTTTCCTTTAATCTGGAATGTTTCCTTAATTTTTCTTTGTCATTCATGATATGGACATTTTTGAAGAGGATAGACCAGTTGGTTTGCAGAATGTTCTGCAGTTTGACCTTTCATGTATTTTTAAAGACCTTTTTCAACTACGCGTTGATTGGTGACACTCAGGCCGTAGGAGGAGTCTGAAGTGCACAGGAGTGTGAGTGTGCTGTGAGAGACAGGATTTCAGCCTTGAGTCATTTGATGAGGTAAGGACAATCAGAAGTAGAATAACAGAGAAGAGCAAAGGAGGCCACAAAGTTGTCTGAGGGCAGTCTTCGGAAAGGAAGAGGGTAATATTTGGAACAACAATTTTTCCTGTTTTCTGCTTACAGACTACTGAAATAATGTTCATTAAGAGTTGGTTTGCAGAATGTTCTGCAGTTTGGGCTTTTTCATGTATTTTATAAAGACCTTTTTTCAACTCAGCATTTATTGGTGGCTACTCATGCCATATAAGAGTCTAAGTGCTAGGAGTGTAAGTGCTATGAGAAATAGGATTTCAGCCTTGAGTCATTTAATAAGATAAGGACAATCAGAAGTAGAATAACAGAGAAGTGCAAAGGAGGCAACAAAGGTGTCTGATGGCAGTCTTCAGAAAGGAAGAGGGTAATATTTGGAAAACCCTGTTTTCCTGTTTTCTCCTAACAGACTCCTAAAATAATGTTCCTGGGATTCTTATCAACACATTTATTATAAGACTAGCTAAAGCTTTTATATAATAACACTGAGAGCATGAATATTATTTTCTTACTTATATTTTATGTTTTACTGCTTAAATTGATATGTACTTTTTATTTTTAAGGGCCAGAGCCTGAAGCTGATAGCCAGGAACAGGTTCACCCGAAGACTGGGTGTGAGCGTGGAGATGGTCCTGATGTCCAGAAGATGGGCCTGCCAAATCCAGAGGAGGTGAAAATGACTGAAGAAGGTAGGCAATCCATTAGGCATGAAAACTATAGGGTGTCTGTTTCCACAGTATCATAATTATTATTATATTTTCTAGATGTAGTCTCACTCTGCTGACCAGGCTGGAGTGCAGTGGTGCCATCTCGGCTCACTGGAAATTCTGTCTCCAGGGTTCAAGTGATTCTCCTGCCTGAGACTCTCGCAGAGCAAGGCTTACAGACATACTCCACCACGCCCAGCTAATTTTTGTATTTTTAGTAGAGACGGGGTTTCATTATGTTGCACAGGTAGTTCCTGAACTCTTGACCTCAGGTGATCCACCTGCCTCGAACTTTGAAATTGCCGGGATTACAGGGGAGAGCCATCGTGCCCAACCCAGCATTATATTTTTATTTTTATTTTCTAAATTTTTATTTATTTATTTTTTTAAGACAGAGTCTCGCTCTGTCGCCCAGGCTGGAGTGCAGTGGCCAGATCTCAGCTCACTGCAAGCTCCGACTCCCGGGTTTATGCCATTCTCCTGCCTCAGCCTCCCGAGTAGCAGCTGGGACTACAGGAGCCCGCCACCTCGCCCGGCTAGTTTTTTGTATTTTTTAGTAGAGACGGGGTTTCACCGTGTTAGCCAGGATGGTCTCGATCTCCTGACCTCGTGATCCGCCCGTCTCGGCCTCCCAAAGTGCTGGGATTACAGGTTTGAGCCACCGTGGCGGCCACATTATATTTTTAATAAGAGAGAGGTAACAATACTGCCTCTTTAGTAATAAAGCTCTTATATAAAGGTTATTTGAAACATAGTTCAGGCCTCAGGATCCGACTGATAGACTGTAAGATATAGAAACAAGCTGAATCAGAGCCATGTTGAATGAAGATTTGAGTCTAAATCCTTGAACCAATAGCTCATAATTTTCAGATGCTTTTGTAAAGATCTGCTTTTATTTTTTATTTATTTATTTTTTTAAAATTTATTTATTATTATTAAACTTTAAGTTGTAGGGTACATGTGCACAACGTGCAGGTTTGCTACATATGTATACTTGTGCCATGTTGGTGTGCTGCACCCATCAACTCGTCATTTACATCAGGTATAACTCCCAATGCAATCCCTCCCCCCTCCCCCCTCCCCATGATAGGCCCCGGTGTGTGATGTTCCCCTTCCCGAGTCCAAGTGATCTCATTGTTCAGTTCCCGCCTATGAGTGAGAACATGCGGTGTTTGGTTTTCTGTTCTTGTGATACTTTGCTAAGAATGATGGTTTCCAGCTGCATCCATGTCCCTACAAAGGACACAAACTCATCCTTTTTTATGGCTGCATAGTATTCCATGGTGTATATGTGCCACATTTTCTTAATCCAATCTGTCACTGATGGACATTTGGGTTGATTCCAAGTCTTTGCTATTGTGAATAGTGCTGCAATAAACATACGTGTGCATGTGTCCTTATAGCAGCATAATTTATAATCCTTTGGGTATATACCCAGTAATGGGATGGCTGGGTCATATGGTACATCTAGTTCTAGATCCTTGAGGAATCGCCATACTGTTTTCCATAATGGTTGAACTAGTTTACAATCCCACCAACAGTGTAAAAGTGTTCCTATTTCTCCACATCCTCTCCAGCACCTGTTGTTTCCTGACTTTTGAATGATCGCCATTCTAACTGGTGTGAGATGGTATCTCATTGTGGTTTTGATTTGCATTTCTCTGATGGCCAGTGATGATGAGCATTTTTTCATGTGTCTGTTGGCTGTATGAATGTCTTCTTTTGAGAAATGTCTGTTCATATCCTTTGCCCACTTTTTGATGGGGTTGTTTGTTTTTTTCTTGTAAATTTGTTTGAGTTCTTTGTAGGTTCTGGATATTAGCCCTTTGTCAGATGAGTAGATTGCAAAAATTTTCTCCCATTCTGTAGGTTGCCTGCTCACTCTGATGGTAGTTTCTTTTGCTGTGCAGAAGCTCTTTAGTTTGATGAGATCCCATTTGTCAATTTTGGCTTTTGCTGCCGTTGCTTTTGGTGTTTTAGACATGAAGTCTTTGCCCATGCCTATGTCCTGAATGGTACTACCTAGGTTTTCCTCTAGGATTTTTATGGTATTAGGTCTAACATTTAAGTCTCTAATCCATCTTGAATTAATTTTCGTATAAGGAGTAAGGAAAGGATCCAGTTTCAGCTTTCTACTTATGGCTAGCCAGTTTTCCCAGCACCATTTATTAAATAGGGAATCCTTTCCCCATTTCTTGTTTCTCTCAGGTTTGTCAAAGATCAGATGGCTGTAGATGTGTGGTATTATTTCTCTTTGCTATTGTGAATAGTGCTGCAATAAACATACGTGTGCATGTGTCTTTATAGCAGCATAATTTATAATCCTTTGGGTATATACCCAGTAATGGGATGGCTGGGTCATATGGTACTTCTAGTTCTAGATCCTTGAGGAATCGCCATACTGTTTTCCATAATGGTTGAACTAGTTTACAATCCCACCAACAGTGTAAAAGTGTTCCTATTTGTCCACATCCTCTCCAGCACCTGTTGTTTCCTGACTTTTGAATGATCGCCATTCTAACTGGTGTGAGATGGTATCTCATTGTGGTTTTGATTTGCATTTCTCTGATGGCCACTGATGATGAGCATTTTTTCATGTGTCTGTTGGCTGTATGAATGTCTTCTTTTGAGAAATGTCTGTTCATATCCTTTGCCCACTTTTTGATGGGGTTGCTTGTTTTTTTCTTATAAATTTGTTTGCGTTCTTTGTAGGTTCTGGATATTAGCCCTTTGTCAGATGAGTAGATTGCAAAAATTTTCTCCCATTCTGTAGGCTGTCTGTTCACTCTGCTGGTAGTTTCTTTTGCTGTGCAGAAGCTCTTTAGTTTAATGAGATCCCATTTGTCAATTTTGGCTTTTGCTGCCGTTGCTTTTGGTGTTTTAGACATGAAGTCCTTGCCCATGCCTATGTCCTGAATGGTACTACCTAGGTTTTCCTCTAGGATTTTTATGGTATTAGGTCTAACATTTAACAAATACATAACAAATTTGTAACACCCATCACTTGGTGTGAACAATGCCAAAGCACTGATGCGGGTTCAAATACCAGCTCTCACAGCCTTGGCGAGATGCTGAGTGAGTCCTTTCA